CCCCAAAACCCCAAAACCCCAAAACCCCAAAACCCCAAAACCCCTAAAATTATTATTTAAGTTGAAATCTTAAGTTTCATTTAAAACCTCAAACAGACAGTTTCCTAAAGGGATTAGCACTGGATCTCTATCTCCTCTATTCAGACATTGGCTTATGAGTGGTTTCTGATTGTTCGAGCAACTGTTTTAGGCCTAAATTGCTCAATAAGGGTGAACTTACTGTCTAAAGTTCTCTGATCCTCACTACACAGTTGTAATCCATGCTTCTGAATTCTGATCTGTGCCAGTTCAACTATCGCTTTCAGCTTGAACCTCTTCTTCCTGTTCTTCTTCTGCTGTCTCTTCCTTTTATTCTTATTCTCAGTCGTGTGAGTCTCTATTCATGAGGAAGTTAGCTTACTGTTTATTTCTAGCTGGAGGATTTCAGCCCTGGTCTTGTACAGAGCTTGCTGGAGGCGGCTAAATTCTTGTGGAGGAGCCCGAGGATTTAGCAGCGGCTGATAAGCAACGGGGGAAGGGTGGAGGGAAGTTTTGCGGTGTGAAGGTGTGCTAGGAGGAAGGAAAGGGAGGGCAAATCTTTTGGGGGTCATTGGGACCTCTGTTGTGGCACGGTCCTCCCTGGGTTGTGATGGGGGAAGTGGGGTTTTAAGCCTAGATTTATGAAGGAGGGTAGGGATTTGTTTGAGGAGTCCATAATCCTCACTGGAGTCTGATGATGAAGGAGAATGTTCCATTTTGAGTATTGGTTTCTTTGGAGAGGGATAATGTTAGAGGATATCTTTTAGCAAAAATTACACACTAGTCGGATTTTAAAGTAGGTAGTAAGTTTAATCTTATTGAGGTGATTTGAATGAGAAAAACAGCTTTCTCCATAATTTTTCAAAAATTCCTCTCTTCAGAAATGAATCTCTAATCAATCTTATATCATTCTCTGCTTACATCATTTCACTTTCAATATCTTTGCCAAATCAAGGGGTTTTGGGGTTTTGGGGTTTTGGGGTTTTGGGG